GCCCAGGGCCGCCTGGGGATGTGCCCGCAACCAAGGTACAGGCCCTTGACCAGAACCGAACCGGGAACCCTTAAGTCCGCAGACCAACGCTCTATCCATTGAGCCAAACCGGTCAGGGCTGATCCACATTTTTAAAGTGCGTATGTACGTGTATAAAAAAGTGTTTTGTCTAGTAAATGTTGTCATGATAAATAAGATAAGAAATTTTATTAACAACCTTAATAGTTTAAGCACTAGTACATTTTACATACACACACACACACACACACAAAATGAACTTGTTTAATAAGTCAAACTCAGTGTCTTTGAGTGAAACACAGCTGCATCTTGATAAAATAAAACTGTCAATATATTACTGAATACACAATTTAACTTCATTCAACTATAGTTGATAACTACAGTCATGTACCAATTTCTGAACTAATAAACCAGGAGAGAGGGGAGTGAGAAATGAAATACCCATGGCCAAAAACAAGAGTCATGTCAGCCAACTGTGGCAAAGCCAACCCTGACTTTCGACTTGAGAGAAGAAAAGCAACCAGGTCTCGAACTTCGTCAGGATCCTCAGACCCCTGGTACAGGCGCTCCAACCCTCCTGGGGAGCCTCCTTACCAGAGCCTGCCCATGTCTGTCTGTGGCCTCCCTTGTCTTTTATGATCTCCTGAACTTTCTGAGTAGAGGAAACGCTGTGAATTCTCATCACGTTCCTATTTAACTTATTCTGACTCACACAAACTTGGCTGACTTCGATGCCCCAAAAAATCAAAGAAAGAAATCATTTTAAAAGCACAAGGGCTTACAGCCCCATTCTCCTCCATGAGCGTTATTTCGTGGCATACGGGGCAATGGGAGGCGCCAATCTGCTGTTCCTTCAAGGGGTCTTTTGTAACTCAAGCATATCAAGTCACTGAGTGCCATTCTGGCAGTTAAAGATTTTTTACCGTCAGGGCCTCTAAGCATTAACTTTTCCATCTGGTACTCAGAGAATGAATGTCTTCCCAAGATGAAAGAAAAAGCGGCTCCAATAGATTGATTCCTATCAGTCTCCAGTGTGGCACGTGCCCGAGATTTTGTAAGGATTTTATAATTCTGATTACGCACAGACATTAAACAAACGGCTCTACTGGAAATGCCATAACAAATGGCTCTACTGGAAATGCCATAATTTTACTAGTTTTCTTTTTTTTTTAATCCTCCCTCTAGGATCTGGGATATGATTCTAGAACAGGGGTGGGCAAACTTTTTGACTCGAGGGCCACAATGGGTTCTTAAACTGGACCGGAGGGCCTGAACAAAAGCATGGATTGAGTGTTTGTGTGAACTAATATAAATTCAAAGTAAACATCATTACATAAAAGGGTACGGTCTTTTTTTTTTTTTTTAGTTTTATTCATTTCAAACAGCCGATCTGGCCCGCGGGCTGTAGTTTGCCCACGGCTGTTCTAGAAAGAGATGAAGGGCGAGGGAGGGAGGAAGAGAGAGAAACATCGATGTGAAAAACATCGATTGGCTGCTTCTGCACACACCCCAACTGAGGGTCAAACCCACACCCTGGGCTTGTGCCCTGACCTTGGGAATCGAACCCTCGACCCTTCGGGACATGGGATGATGCTCCAACCAATTGAGCCACACTGGCCAGGGCCATCATTTACTAGTTTGAAAAGTATCCCCCTTGTTTGGTTCTAGGGCTAAAGAAATGATCCGATCTTTCTCAGGTTCTACTGAACTCCTGAATGCTAATCTATCCAAAATTATCACAGAAAAACAAAAAACACTGACTTTACAATACAGAGGCTCACACTCTTGGTGAGAAAGGCAAGAGGAAGAATAAAGCAAACAAGAACTACTACCGTCCGCTGACAGATATCGTACTAAACCCATAAGGAGGAAGCTCACATGCCCATTTTCAAGTGAGAAACCATCTGTACAGGTATGGAGTGCTGCCTACAACGCATGCGGCCACTGCTACAGGAGCCCAGAGAGACCCAACGCAGACACCGAATCCAGGAATCAAGG